CTCAACCCCTTCAAGGATTAACCCAATCCAAGAAGAATACAAAAACCCTTGTAAGACAATATATCCAAAAGCTTACAAGAAGAAGAAAAAAGAAACCCAAAACTGTTTCAAACTCTTGTTACTATAGCAGTTCGTCCCTCTTCTCTGTACATTGCAGATTTGAATTTTTTATCATTATAATAGGGGATTTTGGAGCCTTGTAATTAAAGTCCATTTAGCCCTTCAAAGCCACCTCACAATTGCCCCAATTAGGTTCCACCTTATTCTTCTGACTTGTCTTGGAAAGTGCTAAGACATTTAGATACCCTATGACTCATTAAGAGAAAACATATAGTTGAGCTGTCAAAATTGAACTTTCCAGAATTTTTGCTTCGAAGCCAAAAATATTGCTTCGAACCATTTTCGGAAAGCAAAAGTTCGAGATTGATTCGAACTAAAATAAATTGGTTCGAACCCAGAACTCTGAACAAGGAGGAACATGAATTAATTCTAATCGTGGGGAAAGATTAGAAACTTTGGATTAATTTTCTTGCACACTTAGCACAAAAATAGATTAAACTCTTTTAAATCATAGTTTAAAATCATCATCAAAATACAAAGAGAACCTAACAAAGCCTAAGAAAAAAATTGACTCTTGTTAAGGACAATATCAACAATATCACTTTAACAATCGATTTTACGCTCTCATGAATGGATCCTCTCCCGTTATAAAAAGCCTCTCATTATCTGATAATTTATGGTTTATAGTTTGAATTGAAAACACTTTTTTTAATAGGTGTTAATCAGTTATGGCAACAAATTCACTTCTACTTCCCATAAAAATTGCAGTCATTTTCAATAAGATGGTCGTGTAGATAAATCCTTTTCCAATTTCTATAGAAGCAAAATTTCCCCTTCTCAAAATATTAATGAAAGTGGTCTACTAATTTAGCTAAACTCTTGATAGTATGAAAGTAAATCTACCTAAATAAAGACTCATTTCCAAGCCAAAGCCAAAAGTAAGGTAAAAACTGAAACAGAGCACCAAAAATCTTACTTGCCTACTTTGTTGTGTGCTATTGTTTACCTCTGTGTTTCACTGCTGCGGCAATACCAACCGAAAAAACTTGCTTACCAAGTACTCTGTACAGATCATAAACGGACTTGAGGACAAAAGTACCTTGAGGTGCATTGCAAACCAAAGGACGACGACCGCAGCACATAGAACCAGATGGTGGCAATTATATGTTCAGCTTCCGCATCAATTTTGGAAGCACGATACTATCCTGGAGTAATTTTTGGTATAAGAAAATGATTAGTTAACCTCCCGGTTCAATATATAC